GTACAGGCTGGGAGGCAAAAAAAAAAACCCCAAATAATGTAATCCAGCTGAGAGATAGGCCAGGGACTAATTCTAACTTCCCCTGTGCCAGGATGTAGTGCTGGATTAGATATTGCAGCTTGGGGAGTAATTGTGGAATGCACAGCAGATGTCTCAACAAAAGTCACCTTGGTTTCAAACAGACTAAAGAAATCTTAGAAAACAATAACTAATGTGCATTGATAGACAGATATTCTGATTTATCCATGTGAGAAGATTCGTAGAAGGAATGCAGCCTGAATCTCTAAAATTAAAAAGGATAGGCAGTGTAGAAAAGAAGATTAACCCTCTACTGTTTCTTATACCACACGGGAGCATCTTGTAACAGTTGTGTGTGACTTTTGAAATAGAGGAGCATTATGCAAGGAAAACTGAGGAACAACCTGCCACAGAAATAGGTGTGTGCCTCTAGTTTAAGTTAAGTCCAAATAAAATAGAAAAGAGAAGGCTGCTGCACCTGGAGCTGCTGTTATAGAGGGCTAGATGTGACGTAGAATGACAATATGGAATATAACAGGTTTTCTGTGCACCATGATTTTCTTGGCATGTTTCAAGTAGAAAAGCAGTTCTACGTCATGATGGTAGAAGTATTTCTATACACTACAATCACTGCCAAAAAGATAAAAAGACCAAAAGCTACTCATTAGGGGCTTTCTTGACAACACTACAACCACTCACAGAACCACTAGTTTCTAAGGAGAGGGGAGGAAGATACCTGTTTTGCTAAGCAAAAGTCTGGATCGGTAAGGGAGAAAAAACAGAAGAATCTCTCATTAGTTGATGTGTCAAACGATTATTCTTTCATACAAGCATTGCTCCTGATTCAGTCAGAGCTAATAACTACACGTTGGGAACTGCCAGCCATCCTCAAGTGCTGGCTGTTGTGCTTTCTTCCTCCTTAGCATAGTCGTTTGTCTGTATCGTACTCAGTGGGAGGATCATTTCACTTACTTGGTACTTTATGATGTAGAAGATGTGATTAAAAACAAAAAAAAAATTAAGAGAGCCGATTTAAAAATCACTTACCAATAAGCCACCATGAAAGAAGTCACAAAATGACCTGCTGCTGAAGCCACCGTGACAATGTGCCCATAGTTGTTGTTCATCATGGCTGGCAGAAAAGCTCTTGTCGTCTTCAAAGTAAGTCAAGAGGCAAAAATGCAGGGGGCAGGAAGGACGAGAAGAACAATGTTTTCTTAGGCATATTCAGCACTGACCCTGAATATCAGTCATTAACAGACCAATGCTTTGTGCTGCACACCACCTCACAATCTGAGAGCCCCAGGGATACCTGTTCTCTGATCAGCTGGTGCATCTGGCAACCTGCTCTGCAAATGTTTCAGGAAGTCAGCTATAAACAGGATCTCATTTTCACATCTTTCCTCTGCTGCTTTTTATGTTTCAGGAGTCAGTGGCAATGCTGAGAGTGTCTCACCCCCAGCACGTACAATAAAACACGTGTCAACCTGCAGCTTCTCTTCAGCTGCAAACAAATATTGCTTAACAGCTGAAACCCCCCCACTCTCTAAGCCCCAGTACAGCTCTGACAGATGCTGCACATGAGGCTGTCACCAGCCTGCTCAGATCAGCAAGAGGCTGTTCAAGTTTCCCAAGGGTGCCCCTGTGCTGTACACATCCAAAAGACACTTTGGTAATTCACTGGTAATAAGGGGTACTTTAAATAGGTCTCCTCAATAATGCTTCCCAAAAATGTAGGTATGGAGATGGTAGTGGCCCTTACCCACATGTGAGCCAGGATGTTGACTTCAAACATTCTTTCTATCTGGTGGTCCTGAGTTGAGAGCAGGTCGGCAGCTGTGATCACACCAGCATTGTTCACCAGGATGGTCACGTCCCCAATTTCCTTTTTCACCTTTTGGAGACAAAACAAAGCCCCAGAACTGTGTCTCTCATTCATTACATAAAAAAATCCCAAATAAAAAAATGCAAGGCTGCAGAAGATGAGCAATAATTAATTTATTTCTTAACTTTGTCTCCTTTAGGGAGAGGAAGATCACGGTACCTTTCCAGATGTGGCAGAAACTGTGAGGTAATTACCATGAGATTTGGTTTAGATCTGATTCTTCTCCCTTAAATAATTACTGCCAAAATTTATTGTCTTCCACACACTGCGTGCACACACAGTTTGGACTGTGTAGTCACAGCTGGGACTGTGGAGGTACAGACAGTTTTGAGCCAGCTGGACCATAACCTTTACATTAAATGTTTCATATGTCCTCAGTGCTGCCTGTGTTTCTTCAGAGGCTGGAACTCTCCAGAGCAAACTTGGCAGTGAGGAATGATACCCTGGAGCCTCACTAAAGGTTGTGATCTTGGAAATGCCTCACCACTCTGTACAGAGAGAAGCAAGGAGTGGGGAGGTTCCAAGGCCTTGCATGATTTGTGTGCAATGCCTCTTCTTCAGTTTTCCCGGCTTTTCTGGAAATGGAGCATGTTTGGGTGAGCCTCTGCTGTGCCCCTGCTGCCCTACCTTTTCTGCAGCGCTGTAGATCTCCTCCCGTTTGCTGCAGTCCACCACGAAGGCTTCAACAGTGGCCCCCAGACCCTTGCATTCTGCTGCCGTCTCCTCAACGCCGTGCTGGAAGGGGCAGAAAAGAAAGACACTCATGCACAACTGTGCCCTGCTGAAGATGTCTCTTAATTGTGTCACCACTGCCCCTGAGCAGTTCACAGCCACCCAGGGACAGAGCTGTAGGTGGGATCCTTGGGAAGACAGCTATTCCAGCCTTAAATTTCAGACTTGTGTATACTGACTACCAAAAAGGAAAGAATAGAATCACAGAATGACTTGGGTTAGAAGGGACCTTAAAGATCACCTCCTTCCACCCCCCCTGCCATGAGCAGAGACACCTTTCACTAGATGAGGTTGCTCAGAGCTCCATCCAACCTGGTCTCAAACACTTCTAGGAATGGAGCATCCACAACTTCTCTGGGCAACCTGTTCTCATGCCTCACCACCCTCACAGTAAAGAATTTCCTGCTAATATCTTATCTACACCTATTCTCTTTCAGTTTGAAGCCATTCCCCCTTGTCGTGGCACCACATGCTCTTGTAAATCATCTTGCTCCATCTCACCTTTTTCTGGGCTCTCTTTAGGTACTGTAAGGCCACAATTAGGACACTCCAAAGCTGTCTCTTTTCCAGGCTGAACAATCACAATTCTCCTAGCCTTAGGAGTGTGGCAACAAGAGCGAGTTTGCCTTGGTAAGGCACACTTAACTAGGCTGCAGAAAGTGGGCACACAGTGCCTATCACAGCACAGCAGGCAGACACCGTGAGTGTAAACAGAGCTCCTCAAACACAGCCTGTCTGGCACCCAAGATATGAGAAGTTTTATGTGTGAGAGGCTTTATGTGTTTCTGTATTCACAGACTGGGTGTGAGAAGAGAGGTGCCCTCCACAGTTGTATTGGGTCTGGCTGAGATGGAGTTCATTTCCCTATAGCAGCCTCACAGTGCTGTGCTTTGCATTGGTAGCCAGAAGGGTGTTGATAACACACCAGTGGTTTGGCTAGTGCTGAGCAGAGCTGGCACAGTATCAGCACTGTCTGTCCAACATTCCCCTCCCATCAGTAGGCGGAGGGTGGGCGAGATCCTGGGACGGGACACAACTAGGACAGCTGACCCAAACTGACCAAAGGAATATTCCATACCACGTGATGTCAGCTCAGATATAACAGCTAAGAAAAGAGGAAGGGGAGGGTATCCGGTTTTTATGACGTCTGCCTTATGGAGCAACTGCTACGTGTGCTGAAGCCCTGCTTCCCAGGATGTGGGTGGACATTGCTTGCAGATGGGAAGTAGAGAACAAAATACTTCTATTTCTCTTTGCTTGCGCATGCACAAAATTTCGTCTCCGCTTTAGTAAACTGCCTTATCTCAGCCTGCAAGTCATTTTCCATGCTATTTTCTCTGCCCGGTGCAGCTGAAAAGGGGGAGTGAATTGGTGGGCACCTGGCGTCCAGCCAAGGTCAAACCTACCACACCAGTGCACAAAGTAGAAGGACATTTCTTATGGAATGGCACTTGACACACGCAGAAGAGAAGCTCATCCATCAACCCACTAAGCCAGGGCAGAAGTGACTTGGGTGTAGCCTTGTCCCCATGTGCCAGAAAGCCATGCCAGTGGTGGCCTGTGCAGTGAAAGGCCCCAGGTCACAAATAGCCTGGGACAGCTCAGCACTTGAGAGAAGCTGTGCAGGTCCCTGCAGTGGGCAACTGGGCAGCTGCCCTCAGTCCTGGCTGCTGCTTAAGGCTGAGAGCCCCAGGAAGGTGGCCTTGGACTAGGTACTTGGATCCTCCAGGATCCACCACCCCCTTGGTATTGTATTTCAGTTCCTCCTTACACCCACCCTTACAATCTATTTCCCAGCACCAAAGCCAGGTGCTGCTCGTGATTTAGTTTATTCCTTAATCCCCACATTCCATCCAGAGAACATGGACAATGCTCTACTTCGCTGCAGCCCTGTACACACCAGGAGACCAGTGCTGTGCCTCCTGCCACCCCTCCAATGTCTGGTCTTAGCCATAATGGGCAGCACGAACAGACACTGAAAATGTTCTACAGTACCTTCCCTGCTTATACAACCCCTTATACTCGGCTTGTCTTGGATTTTGTGGGGTTTCCTTTGTTTGTTTGTGGTGGGCTGGATTTTGCTTTTGCAGCTTCAGGACGACAGGATGAACTCCTCTCCTGACCCACTGTGTCAGAAACCTTTCCCACTCTTTGCTCTCCAGCCTCTCATCCTCCCTGCACAGCTGCTTGCACCTACACACACTTGGCCTTGATCCCTACTGACTGCCAAGATGCATGTTTGTACCTGTCCATCCACCACTTGCCAAGGTCTTTTTGCGTTCCAGTCAAATTATCTGAAACACTTTGGGCCAGTACGAACATTCAGCAAGGAGCCATCTACACTTGTAGCTGCCCCAGAGGGCAGCAGGGCTCACACACAGCTCAGCACAGCAATGCCGTTGATATAAGTAAAGAGAAAACACACCTTCCAGCAATGTATGCGAAATGCCTGAGGCCAGAGACACTCAGCGGAGGCAAACCTGCTCCTCTGTGGAAGCAGGCTGCTGGTCTCGGCGTGCTCTGCCTGCCAGCCCAGGCAGCGGCTCCAGCAGCAGCTCTCGGAGCTCGCACTTCCCTCTCGCAGGGGCTCTGCCAGGCGGTGCCTGCCCCCTCGCTGAGCAGCGCCGAGGAACTGCGGGACCCAGAGCCCTCCATCCTCTGCTGCCAGCGGGGCCAAACCCTCTCCTGGCGCTCAGCGGGCCAGTCCGAGCCGGCCGTGAGCCCACGGCAGCGCAGGGGGAAGGAGCTGCTGTGGATGCAATCTGGTGATGCCCCTCTTACGCTCCTGAACCCCATCGGGCTCGGAGGTGAAGGAGCGAGGGCACGAGCTGTGCCATTACCTTGCTGATGTCCCAGAGGACCAGCCTGCTCTGGCGCTTGGCGAACTCGAGGGCGGTCGCTCTGCCGACGCCATGGCCAGCACCCGTGATGAGCACAAGCTCTCCGCTGACAGACTTCCTCCTCACGGGGACAAACAGCTTCACGAAAGCCTCCAGGTAGGAGTAGACGAGCGTGCCCAGGAACAGAAAAGTTTCCACAAACAGATTCATTGTTTTTTTCCGAGGGTCGTTTGATGGCCGAACTGAACTTTAATCTCTTTTGACGGGGACGTGGGTTGTTGATTTACCAGCTGCCCGCGCCCGTCTCAGCGCTCACTGCTCGTCCTGTCCGTTCCCGACAGGATCCACCCCCGCACCGCCCGTCCCGGGCAGGGGGCGGGAGCCCGGGGGGCTGCTCCGCCCAACCCCGCACGGAGATCTCCGTGCCCGGGTGAGTGGTTCTTGTTCTTGTTTGTCGTCTGCAGCAGGTGCAGGAGGGACAGAACTGGCAATAAATTTGCTCATCCAGTTACTGGCAAAAGCATCTTGAAGTTCCCCTCAACTCTGTGTTGCGTGGCTCAATCAAAGCAGGACAATCCTGCTTTGTCACTGTCCAGTCGCTCAGTTCCATGAGGTCCTTGAGTGGTTTTCTTCATGGTCCTTCCTTCCATTGGGTATCTGTCCATTGTCAGCAGACTTTGTCCCAATATCTTCCTCTTCCAGATCACTTAAAGAAAGCTAATGAGACAAGTCCTTTCAACTTGTGGAACTCTGTAGGTGAGCTCTTGCCTGGCTGCTCTTTTTTATTCTGTTTTCTAATTAGTGATTCATACTCAGTCCTTTCATCTTATGCTGTGGCTACTTAGTTTCCTCAAGTCCTTTGGAAAACGGCATTGACTGAGTGAATTGGGTCATCCTTATCTAATTGAGTCTAAATCACACAACTTGCTTGTGTGTAAGGGCGTATTCAGAACCTTAACCAGAACAGGAGTGCTTATGGGGAATAGGACAAAAGTAGTTTCAGGTGGTTTTTCCAGCTCCGACAATGTAACTGCATGATCTTACTTGAAAAGGATTGCTGACCTTACTCCTCTGCTTTTCAGTTAGAAAAGTAGATGTATCACAGTCATGTTCATAATTTTATTTAAGCGTATTTTTAAGCTGCTTGGGGAAGAGTGAAGGTTTCATGAATATCTGTCAACTGACCAAAATCAGCCTCCAGTTAAGATTACAGTTCTTGAAAAGTACTGTTTTCGTCCTGGTGGTTTGGATGCATTGTTGCTAACCTTGTCTGTGAGAGACTGGGTCAGCTCCAGCAGAGCCATTCCAAGCTAGGCACTTCCTCCCTTCCTCTTGGAACTTCATTCTCTGCTTAATTAATACATCAGCATTTGGGCCCGACCCTAATTGCACAGCTCAGCGGTGCTGTCATTTTCCTGGCACAGGGCTCCAGTCAGTGCCGTGGCCAAAACAGTGAAGGCAGGCAGGGCATAGAACCATTGTCTCTCAGCAGGAGGCAGAGCACAAGGCCAGAGTCACCAGCCTGACTCATAACAAGTCCTAAGCCAGGGTGTGAGATACCGCTCTTCAAATTTGGGATTTGGCTGTAGGTGGCTATATGAAGCTTGCTCACATAGGCTCCTGCTGGGCACCAATAATGATCAGACTATGGGACAAGCTTCTGTTGACTGCTGTGGCCAGAAAGAGAACTGAGAAGCCTGGGAAGCTTGACGAATCAGTTCTGTCACTGGTGTTCAGGAGATGAAGACTTAATTCCTTGCTTTCGCATAAGTCTCTTTATGCCAAGCAGAAGACTTGCAGCCATAGGAGACACAGAGAACAACTGTAGCCACATATGAAGTACTGCACAAGTTGCCCTGCCCAATAATTCCTCTGGGCTCTGAGAGACTAGACTAGATCTGGCAAGATGGGAGTGAACACAGTCTCCCTTTCCTTAGGACCAAGTATGCTGAGAAACAGACTCTGCAGGACAGCGCTGTCTGTCATTCCCTAGATGGATTTCTGTCTTCCAATTTAATGCTGCCATGTGAATCTGAATAATGCACAAGGCTAGTGGGAATGGTGTGCCAGGAGAAGCCAAATATCTTGTCTGATGTGTCCTACTGAAGCCAGTATGACAAGAGGGCCTAGTCATTGGGACATTGACTTGTCTGTCTCAGGGGTCTTTTTGTGCTTTTTCTTTGGAGTCACTGTTCCATATTGCACCCTTTTCTGAAGAACCTGTTTACAGGACAACAAGAAATGCTCAGGTGAGCAGGATGGATTCCAACTGTGCCAAAGGTGGCAGCGTATTCAGGCCTCCCTCAGATGGCTGTGAGCCAGCAAGTCCCTGCAGTGGCTGGGAGTTGCACAAGTAGGTGCACAGATAATCTGTGCTCCAAAGGGGTCTTTGACCCGTGTTTCATCAGGTGCTGCTCTCTTGCACCACAGGCTGAAGGCCCTTGGGGATTTAACCTCCTGGTCAAGGTCCCATCAGATCAGGCCACTGGCTTGTCATGAGGAGCTGAGCAAAGGCTCATCTGGAGCCTTTTCCCGTGTACTCTCTTCCCTGGCACCCACCTTTAAGCCCTGGCCTTGGCCCCAGCTCTTGTGTGGGCTGTGCTGGTGGTGTGCCATGCCTGGCCCTGTA